CAAGTGACCAGGATGACTGTGCCACTGAGGCCCACAGCACACCTACTACATAAGGCCACTCTTCTAAGACTGGAAGACATAGCAGCACTACCCTAATACATAGAAACAAACACAGGAAGGCAAAATGGGGAGACAAAGAAACATGTCCCAAATAAAGAACAGAACAAAGCTCCAAAAAAAGAACTAAACAAAATGGAGGCAAGTAATCTAACAGATGCAGTGTTCGAAACACTGGTTATATGAGGTGTGATAAAAAATATGGTGAACATTTAAATAAAAACAATTTATTATAGTAAAAGACTCATTGCCATTAATTCCCCTCAAAAGACTCCTCCTCACTTCGAACACACTCATTCCATTGTTCTTGCCACTTTCTGAAGCAGTTCTGGAAGTCCTCTTTCATGTCTTTACTTCATCCTCCATCACGACAACACTCCATGTCACACATCACTTCTGGTATGGCAATTTCTGTCAAATGAAAACATTACAGTGTGACCTCATCCACCTTATTCACTGGATCTGGCATTGTGCAACTTCTGTCATGGCTGCATCAATGTCCTGAATCAAATAAAAATGTTTTCCTTCATGGTCATTTTGACTGGCGAAGAGCCAGAAGACACACAGTGCCAGATCCAGTGAATAAGGTAAATGAGGTCACATCATAATGTTTTTATTTGACAGAAATTACCATACCAGAAGCGATGTTTGACACTGAGTGTTGTCATGATGGAGGATGAAGTAAAGACACTCATGAAAGAGAACTTCCAGGACTGCTTCAGAAAGTGGCAAGAACAATGGGATAAGTGTGTTTGAAGCAAGGGGGAGTATTTTGAGGGGAATTAGTAACAATGTGTCTTTTACTGTAATACATTTTTTAAAATTTGAACATCCACTGTATTTGTTGCTCACATCTCATAAGGATGCTGAGTGAACTCAGAGAGAACTTCAACAAAGAGATAGAAAACGTAAAAAAGAACCAGTCAGAAATAAAGAATACAATAATGGAAATGAAGAACATATTACAGGGGATCAACAGTAAATTAGGTGAAGCAGAGGATCAAATCAGTGATTCAGAAGATAAGGTAGTAGAACACACCCAATTAGAACAGTAAAAATAAATAAGAATCCAAAAAATTGAAGAGAGGTTAAGGGGCTTCTGGGACAACATCAAGTATTCCAACATTCACATTATAGGAGTACTAGAAGGAGGAGAGAGAGAACAAGGAATTGAAAACCTATTTGAAGAAATAATGACCAAAAATTTCCCTAACCTGGTGAAGGAAATAGCTATACAAGCCCAGGAAGCACAGAGAGTCCCAAGCTAGATGAAGCCAAAGAGGCCAATATCAAGACACATCATATTGGGTTGTTGGAAAAGTCATCACGCATTTTTGCAAGAAAAAAACATATAAAAAATACGTCATGACTTTTTCGACAACCCAATGATTAAAATGCCAAACGTTAAAGACAAAGAGAAAATCTTAAAAACAGCAAAAGAAAAGCAATTAGTTAACTACAAAGGAGTGCCCATAAGACTACCAGCTGATTTCTCAACAGAAACTTTGCAGGCCAAAAGGGATTGGCAGGAAATATTCAAAGTGATTAAAAGCAAGGATTTACAACTAAGATTACTCCACCCAGGCAAAGCTATCATTTAGAATTGAGGGATAGATACAAAGCTTCCCAAACAAGAAAAAGCTGAAGGAGTTCATCACCTCCACCAAAACAGTATTACAAGGAATCTTAGAGGGACTTTTTTAAGATTAAAATTATATATATATATATATATATATATATATATATATATATATATATATATATATAAAATGGCAATAACTACATATCTATCAGCAATTACTTTCAATGTCAATGGATTAAATGCTCCAATCAAAAGATGGAATAGCTGAATAGATAAGAAAATAAGACCCTTACCTATGCTACTGACAAGAGACTCACTTTAGATCAAAAGACACACACAGATGGAAAGTAAAGGATGGAAAAAGATATTTCATGAAAATATAAACTAACAAACAAAGCTGGGGTAGACATTCTTATACCAGACAATATAGACTTTAAAACAGCCTATAACAAGATACAAAGAAGGACCTAGTAATCCCACTTCTGGGTATTTAGTTGAACAAACCCAAAATGCTACTTGTAGGGTATGTGCTCATCCATATGTTCATTGCAGCATTATTTACAATAGCCAAAATATGAAGGCAACCTGGGCATCCCAGAATGAATGAATGAGTAAAGAAGATGTGGTACATACATACAATGGAATGTTACCCAGCCATTAAAAAAGAACAAAATCTTGCCATCTGCGACTACATGGATGGACTTAGAGGGTATTGTGCTGAGTGTAGTAAGTCAGACAGCAAAAGACAAATGTCATATAATTTCACTCATAAGTGGACTATAAAGAACAAATTAAATAAACAAACAAAACAGAAACACATTCATAGATACAGAGAACATTTTGTTGGTTGCCAGATGGGAGGGGACTTAGGAATAGGTGAAAAGGAGAAAGGATTAAGAAGTACAAATTGGCTGTTACACAGTAGTCTTGGGAGTGTAGGGTATAGCATAAGGAATATAGTGAATAATATTGTAATAACTATGTATGGTGTCAAGTGGGTACTAGATCTATCAGGGTGATAGATGGGAGGAGGTTGGGGGCAGAGTGAAAAAAGTGAAGGGATTAAGAGATACAAATTGGTAGTTACAAATTAGTCATGAGGGTATAAATTATAGGGAATATAATCAATAATATAGTAATAACTATAGTGACAGGTGGGTACTACTCAGGGGGATCATTTCCTCAATTATATAAATGTCTACCCACTATGCTGTACACCTGAAACTAATATAAAATAATATTGAATGTCAACTCTAATTGAAAAGTTAAAAAAAGGAGGGGAAGATAAAGAAGAATGAGGTTCAAAGTTCCAGATATAAAACAAATAAGTCTTGGGGATGTAATGTACTGCATAGGGAATACAGTCAATAATATTGTGATACAATGTCTGATGTGGTACAATGTCATTAATCAATAATGTGGTAATAACTCTGTATAGTGCCAGGTGGGTACTGTTGAATAACTCTGATGGACACTTGAAACTAATATAATGTTGTATGTTAGCTATATTTTAATAAAAATCTTAAAAAAAAACAGAAAAAAAGAAAAATAATTAAACAATGTATATAAAAAATGATTGTGACATTCTTGTCTGTATTACCATAAAGGAGGAAAAATTAAATAAGAAGCCTAAATGTCCAAATATATCGAACCAACTAAAATAAATTATGGAATACCACACAGGAATTAAAAATTATTTATCATTAGAAACAATATATAACTCAGATATTATTTAAAATATTTTAAATAAAAAATCAGCTAAGAAAATGGCTTATAAAGTGTAGAAAATTATATTTGTAAGATATATTTTAAAATCATGAAATTCTAGAAGAATTGGTACTAACTTAATGATTGCCCCCTAGGTGACAGAACTACAGAAAATTTGTATTGTTTCATTTCTACATATCTATACTTCTAAGGAAATTTTTAAATAATATGTTAGTTTTATAATAAGGTGATAATCTTTTAAGAAAGATTATGTTATACATAAGAAAGTGCTTATTTATTACATCAAACATACACTACCCAGTTAAACCTTTTTCTTCCTGCTATTAACATCTTGTTTCCCCGCAAGAAAATCCAAATAACTCTTTGTAAACCACAAAGTCCTTGTTTATTTTTGAAGATGATATCAGTAATTAAGGACAAGCTGTTTTCTAAGAATCCTGGGCTTAAAGACCCAGTTTGGAAATAATAAAGGGACTTGTGATTCCCACCTTGATAGGTGACTGCCTTCCTCTTACAGATAAGGCTACAGGGAGGGTCATGTGCTACCGTTTTCTTGACCACTGTGCATTCTTCTCTCCTACGACTCTGCAACTCTGACCCCATCTCTCTTCCTTCTCGCTCTCTCCTCCATGGCAAGGTTTACTCTCTTACCTCTGTGCTTTCCCTTTCTGGCTCAAGAGCTTCCAGCCTACAAACACAACCCATGAACCCTTTGCCCTCTCTATTCCAATGCCTGCAATGCAATCCCTCCCTCTACTGAGTAGCCGTGGGTGTCATGGTCTCAGCCCCATCTTCTCACTGGCAGCTGGCAAAGGAAGTAATCCTCTCCGTAATGAGAAAGGAATAACCAAACTCCAGGTTTCTGGGGGCTGGGGAAGGATGTGTGTGGGTTGGAAAGTTGGCTCTCTTCTAGACTCTGGGAGCATAAGTATACCACATGTATTAAGAACACGACCAATTTTTACAAAGAAATAATAGGAAACTATGTAGCAGAATATTAATGCTGTAGTCCAGCTACATTATAGGTTAAGCTACAATAGTTTTTACGGTACAGCTGGGAACACAGTCACAATTTTAAGTGTACTCTAAATAATGACTTTCAATTAACTTTGGGAACAAAACCTGTCCCTAAGGTTTGAACTCTTTGGGCTTTGTTTGCTTCTCTTAATTAAAATAATAAAATGCATTTTTTAAACAAAAGAGCTCCTTTTAAAAACTCCACTGTGTACTCAAAATGGCACTCATGATCAGCAAAATTACTGGACACATATCATTGGAGCTCTCTTGTAGGATCCAAAGTGTTCATAATAGGAAATTTGAATACATTGCTCCCTATGGCACCCAGCTATCTTAAGAGGCAAAGACAAAAAATACAACTTTTCATTCTGAAGGCATATTTCTTCCTCTATTTTAAAGGCTAGAATCAGAAAAGGGAACTCCTGAAGCCACAGTCTCTCAACTGGCATAATAAAAACCCAGCCCCTTTAATAGCAAATGGAACAACAATGGGGCAAGCAAAAATTCCCAGGGCTTGAGGACCTGGCTGTAAAGCACCCCCACCCCTCTGCACCCCTCTAGCGAAGATTAGATGTTTTCCAGGAGACCAGGGAAAGCCATAAAATCGATTACTTACCATTTTTATTGAAAAGAGTTGATGTGCTGGCACACAGCGACCCCGAAGATGCTGTAACTCGGACAGTGAATGTGCAAGTTAGCTTTGCAGAGTGTACTTCCTTTTTTGAGCTGTGTGGTCTGTCCAGCTTTCACATATTGGTATGTATGGTTTATTTGCATGTTATCTTAGCCCTCAGAGCATTTGTATAACTGGCCAGGTTTATCCAGTTATTACACTTTAATAATATGAGAAAAGCTACAGGTGAAGTTTTGAAGTCAGAAAGTTGACACAAAATTTTTTAGTGTGTCTGAATTTTAAATTCTGTGAACATTGTTACCCTGTTTTTTTTATATATATATAAAGTCTGTATTTGTGGATCTTCTATCTATCTATCTATCTATCTATCTATCTATCTATCATCTATCGATCATCATCTATCATCTATCTATGAAAGAAGGACCCACTCCAAAATGTTAACAGTGGTTGACTTGGGTGGAGGTATTATTAAACCTAATTCTTGTTTTGTACTTTGCTGAGTTTTTTATTTTTCTATTTTGAGTATATAGTACTTGTTAAAAACAACTATAATCTTAAAAGAACAAAAGGGTCATGATTATTTTAATCACCAATTCCAAATACAGTAAACCCTTGGATTGTGAGTAACTTGGTTTGTGAGCATTCCGCAAGACGAGCAAACATTTCTAAAACATTTTAACATGGTAAATGAGAGATGTCTTACAATATGAGTAGTTTATTTCCGTAACGAATTATGCTTGCAAACCAAGATATTACTGTATTTTCAAACCAATCTCATGGATATCTAAATGATGGAAATATATATGTAAGCATATCATAGATGACATTCATTTCCTTAAAAATATAAAGTACAGGGCCGGCCGAGTGGCACGATGGTTAAGAACTGGCTTGGGACGTCAGAAGGCCCAGGTTCGGATCCCACATATGAGGGCCAGTGACACTGCCCTCTACAGCTAAGATGCTGAACAACAGCTCAACCTGGAGCTGGGCTGCCAGGAGTCGCCTGCGACGGCGTAGGCTGCAGCCCCTGTGGCAGTGGGTTGCCATGGGCTACCGTGTGTAGCCAGCAGCCAGAGTGAGCGGCCAGCAGCCGCAGTGAGTGGCCATCCAGAGGCTGGTAACTGATCTGCCTCGCCTGGGAAGAGCTCAATGATGGTGCCAACTTGGGCCAGTGAAGCAACGTCCTCCACAACTAGACTGAAGACCAAAATGACAGCAACTTGTCTGTTCCCCTTCCCCCAATTCTACAGCGCTGTTCCCATCCCCCCAATTCCCCAATAAAAATCTTTTAAAAAATAATAAAAAAAATAAAGTACATTTTAATCTAGGTTTGTGTGTTAATTTTTTAGTAATTTTTGTTAGCATCAGAAGCCTCATCCCTCATACTGGTAATCTAGATATTCTTGAGTTAAGGCCATGGTATTTGATCCTGAGTAGTCAGATTTCCCACAAATCAACTGCAGTGCCTATCTAAACATATTCTGGTATGTGGATTTATCGCCTTTATTTTGAATAGATAGCCTGATACTAGAGTGATTTCAAGGGTAGAAGATCATCTTTGTTTCCAATTGTAAAGGAAAGCCAACTGATTACTTAATTTGGGGTTGCAAATGTTTAGATCTTCTTATAAATACTACCAAATGTTACCTAGTAGAGGGGCACCTAATTTCTTCGTTTGATGATGAGCTAAGATTAATTCCTACCATGACAATACAAAATCCTTTATTAAAAAAGGTGTTCTTTATTATTCATTCCTTAAAGTGAAAATGTTTTTAAAAATCAAGGTGTGGTAAGACGTATGGCTAGAATCATTGCCAGGACAAGGCAGGAAGGCAGGGCAGGGGCAAGTTTTAGCGGAAGAAAAGAACCTGATGCTGCCCTGAAACTTGTAGGTATTTGAAAGAGGGGTGAGGCTTGAGGAGTAGCCAGGGGCTGGGAGGGTGGTCAACCACCTGAAATTGCACGGCCTCTGGCACGTAATACATGTGCAATGGATGAATGAAGGCATTCGATTGATCTTTCAATCAAGGCAATGCAGTTCCTGGAGCCAGGCATGCTATTAGATGTGAAACATTGCCAGAAGAAAACATGAAAATGTAGACCTTTAGTTCACCGGAATGTTTCTTATTCACCATCTGGGGAATAGAGGTTATCACAACGCAGGTACATCTTAGGGTCTAAAGCTAGGGTTGTCAACCTGGCCCCAGTTTTCTAAAATCTGGAAGTTTTCTAAAATCCCAGGTCCTAGGCTTTATTCCAGAGCATTAAATAATAATCTCTAGTTTTGAGGCCCAGGCGTCAGTATTTTTTAAAGTTCCCTAGGTGATTTCCAGGTGCAGGGCTCTAAAAGGAGGAGCAGTTGACTCATACTAGTGTGATGGGAACAGGTCACGAGGCCAGACTTGCAGGTAGAAATAATCCTGTCACTTTGACACTGTTTTCTACTAGGTTTATCAACATATTTTTTACCATGCACTACATAATAATTGCTTATTCTCAGTCATTCTATGACTTTCTCTCTATATCAGAAAGTTGCACTCAAATTACATGACAAACAGCAAATCTAGCAATTTCCATCAATAATGTAGCTGCCTGGACAAGTCTTTGGTTAAGAGAACTTCAAATGTCAATTCTTTCACTTGAATTCCATTTCAAGTTCTGCTTATTCCGTAAATGCAGATTAAGGTGATTTTTAGTTGTCACTGACATAAATTCAGCAGTCTCACAAAAACATATATTTAAGAGATGTGTTTTGGCTAAGAGAAAAACAAGAAAGGGCTGAAGATGTGAGCCATAACTCATAATCCACCAGTAAGTTTCTATTTTTAGTTTTTTGACTTAAAAAACTTATGTCAAATATCACATGTCTTAGTTCATTTTCTGCGAAGTCAACTAAGTGCATAAGCCCCTGAGCAGGAAGATGAAACAGGAAATGCAATAGCCATGACAGACAATATAGTAAAACCATCTAAAGAAGATAAAGTTATATTTTCACAGTGTGGCCACTGCAATTATTCCTGCAAGTGGAAGGAAGAAGTACTTCAGAGACTGCAAAAGGGGTTAGAGTTCCTCAGATACTTGGGTATGTGTTCTCTTTTCAAATGTTTGCATCCTACAAAACTGTTTTTGTTCAGGCAATGGTAAAATCAGTCTGTCCCTTTGGAACTCACTGAAGGCGACAGCTTGGTGGGGACTCAAGCCCTGCGACAGTGGGTGGCAGGCAGAAACCAGCTTTCTTTTTAAAAGTCAATTTACAGGAAAATGGAGGGAGACACCACTAATGAAAATGTTAAGTACCACTACTTACTGATCATTATTTAGCAGTATCATCAGGGTTATATCTATCAGGCTTTAAAAAGAGCCTGGTTAAAATTGTTAGCAAAGAGGGAAGAAACACAAAATCATGCTCTTTACTTGCCCAACACGAACAAGCCTGGATAAGACCTTTCAGATAGGAGAACAGAGGGAGGGGTCTCACCTCTTCCAGGAAGCCTTCCCTGCTTCTTGCTCATTCATTTCCCCGTTTTTCTGGACTCCTGCAGACTGCATCACGAAATGAAGCTCTTTGATATGTTTGCCCTTTATGGGTCCATTGTATCAGCTGCATTAAATTTTGCTCACTAACTAGATTCGAAACTCCTCCAGTATGAGTTCATTTTCATACTTCCTTCTGTCTGTCACCTTGAGATCTTAGAGCAGCTTTTATTTTTTTAACCTTTTTTTTTTTTTTTGCTCATGGGTTCCTTTCAGAATCTGATAAAAGCAGTACACACTTTGCACACTAATTCTGCATGTACACAGCCTCCCTTTCTTAAAAGCTCCTCATTTACGGGAAGCTGTAGGTGAGCTTTTGGTTAAAATATTGTTGAACACTAGGAGATGGTCACTTTAGTGCTGCTCTTTGATTATGAAATTAAAGCACAGAAATGGTAAGCGACCCTCCCAAGTTTTCAGACTAGGAAACCAGTCAGCTAAAGCTTCATTATTTTGTAAACTTGACTCATTTTATCAACATGCTTTTGAACTGTGCAGCAAAGAAAAACAAACTCACAAAGTAGATTCATAGAAATTCAAGGAAATTCTCCTCTCCCTGCTTGAATAGATATGGGATAGCCAAACGGAAAGTGACAGGAAGAAAGCAGGATATGAACAGGCATACTTAAAAATGTTGTGTAGGAGGAAATGGGCACGTCCTTGATTTGGCTTATTTCTCTTTCACTTTTTATTTTAAAAACAAAATGGAATTTTTTACTCTTCTACTTTCTACTTTTGAGGAAAGGAGGCCTTAACCCTATCAGAGCATCAATGCTCTGGAAGAAATAACTTATTTAATCAACTTGAGGACAAAATGAGCTCACCTTCCAATAAGAGAGTTCCCACTATATTCAATAGAATGAGTAAAATGTATTTAAATTCAAGAAGGGCAGGGAGTAGTTGTCTTTACAGTTTAAACCCAACCCCAGGCAAATGTTTATTGTACTCTAAAAGAACTGCTGAAATAGAAAAATGGAAAAAATGATATAACTTTACTTATGAAGTTTTTTTTTTTTTT